CCGGGCACCAGGCACTCATGTGGCATATATATATAGACAAAGACCCATAAAATGAAATAATAAAAATTTTATAAATTCACAATTAATTTGTTCTTCATCATCCCATATGAGCCACAAAGTGAGAGCTGGGAGTGGTGGAAATACATCTGGAGTCCCAGTACTTTGAAAGTGAAAACGATCAGTAGTTCAAGATTATCCTTGGCTATACCAAGCTGGAGGCCTGCCTGAGCTACATAAGATGGTGTTTTGACAAACCTATCAAAGAACAAGAAAAAATGCCTTAGCCCTGCCTAATGTATTTGCACTTGCTCACTGAACCATACCTGATTTGGGAACCAACTCTGCAAGTATCTGAGGATAAAACTGATGGTTTATCCCCACCTTCACCTTCTGCACTTCTTTTTTTTTTTTTTTACCCTGGCCACCTATGATAGTTACTAAGACCATACTGACCCATGAGCTCCCTTAGAAAGAAATTTCTAGAGCCAATATGCCACTTTTTAGAAGCCCCTTTAAGTTACAAAGAAATATAATGCAATATACATTCGTAGCCTTCCTACCCCCAAATCTATCCAAAGTGGAAATCTTAGTTTTCCAAAACAGTAGATACCCCAACCTCATAAACAGCCAACTGGGGAAGTGAGACAAAACATCTAATATAAAGACAGTGAATATCCAGAGTAGCCATGGCCAGGTTATTAAAACTTGTAGTCACAGGAAAAAACAAAATGAACTCAAGCAATGAAATCTACCTTTTGGAAACTCAAAATGGACATTCATGATCATTGTAAGTCAAGAGAACTGAGGAGTATCAGGATATAGGAAGGCCTAGAGTGCTTAGCATTGTCTTAAGTAGGTTTCAGTCAAGTTAACCAGGGCATACCTCCCCCCCCCCAAAAAAAAGAAAGAAAGAAAGAAAGAAAGAAAGAAAGAAAGAAAGAAAAAAAGGCAAGTAAGAGAGGCCATAACTTCGCAACTCCAGTTTCAAGAGACCCAGAACACAACCTGGTATTTTTGTTTCCCAATTCCAGTATCTATAGCTCTAGCTATAAAGTGTTTCATGTCCTAACCATAGGACCTACTCAGTAATTTTAATGAATCTATTTCTGGAGCTAGAGTGAGTCTGTTACCTGCAACCTGAGGAGACAAAATTTAGAGTCTAAGATATTATTTATGAGCTGAAATAATGCCATGTACTCAGAAGGCCATTTGTATGCTAGGCAATAATAACATAAAAACAACATGACAAAGTTAGCATGGTTGAGGAAGTCAAATTTTGTACCAAAGCAAAGATTTAAGTTTGTTATCTTTAAAACACTCTCATCACAAGATTTTTCATTTGGTTTTCTTGTTTCTTACAAAGAAAGCAGGGAAAAGGATGACCACGGAAGGCTCCTCCCAAGGGATAATAGGTCTTCCTTTACAACACTAATTCTAGCATTCACTCTGGAATATATAATTTACAGATGTATAAAGGTAGAAATTTATGTGCTGAATAAGCCACAAGGAGGCATGCTTAAGAGAATTCTATATACAGTTACTGTTATGCTGGATGTACCCCTACATGTATGCCTTTATACAACTGTCTAATCAAAAATATTTATAGTACTCTTACATTCTACATAAGTTTTCTGTAGTCTGTCATTAAAACTTGTGAAGGCTGTAAAACAAATGTGTGTACACACCAGCACATGAGTGTACATACATATAGGGTCACTTGGGATGGACATTTAAAAATGCAAGTTCTTCACAGCTAAAGAAAAAAAAAGTGGTCTGGAGTGCAGGACTGTAATACCAACTATTTGGGGGCTCATGTAGAAGGACAAGTTCAAGGTCTACCTGGCTTACAGAGTTGAGTTTAGAGAAAGCCTGGCAACTTAAGAAGATCCTATCTCAAAATAAAAAATGAAAAGGGGATCAGAATATAACTCAGTTCAATCACCAATATTATAAAAATAAAGTTTTATAAACATACATACTCGGAAAACACCTTGATGTGAAGAAGTTGCCATAAAGTTGATTATGTGGATGTGGCTTTGCAGCAGTGTCTACTTTTGGATCTGAAACCAATGCTTTTTAACTGCTGAAAGAGTCACAGAGGAACAGAGAATGCAGTAGTCCTTCCTCCTCACCCCCTAAGTATGGGGCAGGATGTGTATGTATGCATGTGTGTGGTGTGTGTATGTTGGGGGAAATGGAATGACAGGAGTATGTGGAGTGACAAGTCACTGCATAGAGCTTCACCAAGAATCTAGGCTTTAGCTGTATTCCCCCCACAATAAAATATAGTAAACTATATTTGTAATTAACTACACACAAGATTGATTTTTTAAAATGGCAACAGAGTGAAGATAAACCTGTGAGTGGGCTATGCCTGGCTATGTAAGTCTATAATCCTGGCTTCTGAGAAGCCCACAACAGAAAGATCACAAGCTCATGGGTTACAGAGTAAGTCCAAGGCCAGCCCGATAGACATGGGAAACTCTATCTCAAAATAAAGGACTGGAATAAAGCTCAACAGTAAAGTGCTCGCCCACCCACCATGTCTAAAGCCTGGGGTTCAATCCTTAGCACAGTAAAAGTAAGTTGTGAGTATTGGAAGAATGAGGAAAAATAAAGAGGCTGGAACTGTGAGTAAAATGAACAAAGAAAGTTGATGCTTTATGCCTACATGTCCCCTACAGGACATGTGTTAAATGGCCTCCAGCCTGTGGTGCTACTGAAAGATGACGAACCTTGGGGGATGGAGTCTAAGGGTGAGGGAGTTAGGTCACTGATCTTAAAGTGGATATTGGGCCTCTGGCTCCTTTCTCTTTTTGTTTCTCAGCTACTATAAAATGAGCAGCTTTGCTTGGCCCACACTCACTGCCACAGTGTTCTATATTGTTATAGACCCACAATGCCAGGGCCAAGCAACAGGGCACTGAAACTTTTCAAACTCAACCAACATACATATTTCCTCCTATAAGTTCATTTCCTCAGGTATTTTGTCACATCATTAGAGAGCTGACTGACACAGGGGGACTATGAGACTTGGGCATAAACTTTCAGGCTTACTTTCTTTCAAATATGTGCTGAACTATTCTGAATATCCTGCAGTTAGTTTCTGGCAAAAAAAAAAAAAAAAAAAAAAAAAAAAACCTGTCACTAAAAACAATTCAAAAGTTTCTGGCACACCTTGAAATTTTTATGCACAGGTTAGAGATCAATATAACAAGATCCATAGTTAATACATACTAAATAACAGAATAGTACTAACAGTACCCATCATAAAACTTAAGTTCTTTCAGCCAAGTCATTGGGGGAATTTCTCCTTGAATTACTCAAAACCTGATGCACTGTAGCATTGCTTCATTTCTTTGTATTACAGAAGTTGCTAAGTTGCATAAAACTCCTAACACTTATCAAATTCCACAGGTTCTTAGCTATAACCTCCCTAAAAATTAGTCAGACCTTATTTTGTAAAGAAACAGTGGTAATAAAAATGAGTGTTTTCCAAACTCTGCCCTGAAGAATGTCAAACATGTACCAGTGTAAAGCACAGTATAATAAATCCCCACATACTCATCAAAGCCCCAACTATTCTTCACAGAAGCCCAGTCTTTTTTCATTCCCCATCTTGTCTAATTTTGAAGCAAATCCCTCATTTCATACCAAGTACAGACATCTAGTATCTCTTGAAGCTGTACCTCCAAAGCTATAACTATAAACATCACCACCGTATCACTATCACCTCTAAAAACTAGACTTCAGGACTAGTTAACTCCTTGTGTGGCATTTTTTAATTTGCAATTTCTTAAAAATATTTTTTTTACTTTTTTCATACATATCAGTGTTTTGCCAGCATATATCAGTGTATCTGGTGCCCCAAGAGAGCACTGAAATGTACAGTTGTGAGCTACTATGTGAGTGCTGAGAAGAGAATCTGGGTCCTTTGCCAAAAAAAAAATAAATAAATAAAACAAAAGAAAAACACCAAAACAAACAAACAAAAAACTAGTGATCTTAACAGCTGAACCATTTCTATAGCCCACATTTTTTAATAATAAATTTAACAATTTTAGTGTCTAAAATTTGCCAAGCCACAGGATACTTACAGATTATCTATCTCTATAAGCACTCCAAAGTTCTATATACATTATCAAATGTATATACATTATCAAAAAAGCATTCCCTGGCCTTGCATCAATACAGTTCAATAGAAAAGGCACAAGTGAAATAATATGAGTAAATATCTTCTGACTACACAGTGACCCAGGCAGCTCCAGGAAAACTTAGTGCACAGTCCTTAGCAGTGGCTGCTGAAAAGCAACCAAGGTCCTTTGCGAAAACCAGGAAGAGGTATTGTCATGTACATCAGCTGAGTGTTAAGTGAGACCAGAAGCAGAGGAGGAAATGCAATCAGGGGAAGGAGACAGGTTGGGATCATGAATCTGCACAAAGTAACAACTTAAGTACTGGAACCTGGTGGGTTACAGACAGCTGAGTTTTCCTGATCCAGCATTTGAACGAATGATGTGGAACCTGTTGTTCAAACTCAAAGTCCTCAGTTAACCAGGGATTTATGAGTATCTGGCCTGTTCTATTCAGGGACTATTGGCATAGTGTCCATCTAGCTAAGTCCACTTGTTGTACTTCTAACACCAGGAGTATGCAAAAGAAAGACAAGTAGATTTGGCAAATGTTAACTCAGACCCATTTTATAAAAAAGGAAATTGTTAAAAAATGATAGCAAGTCAAATTTAGATCTTCCTGAAATGTTTACTGCTTAAGAAAGAACTACAACCACAACACTGACCAATGAAGTGCAAATTGGTATTTGAGCATTACAAATTATTCATCCTTTCCTGATCTAGACATATCTCATATTTGGCCTAAGTGGTTTAGACTTAACACAGTCTGATGAACTACAGACTACACAGTAACATAACTCTACAGCTGAGTCAAATTAACCAGTGTTATTTCTGCCATGGTCAATGACACTGGGTTGGTATCCTTACCTTTCACCACATCAGCTACATTACAGGTGGGATCGATACTCCCTATGTGCTTAGGATGAGCAGGATTAGTGTCGCCACCAAACAGGAGTGCTAAATGAACACAAAAAGAGAAGGAAAGGGATGGTTGAGCACAGAAATAAATTTCTAATTGTCAAAAGGATCTTTTAAGAATCATTTCAGTATCCATTATGACTTAGAGTAATGCAATACAGCTGATGGGTGAGCAAATACAATACCCATAAGCGGGGAAGGTCCCATCAGTTGCAGTTAGTAGATCCTAAAGCAATGACATGTCAGGTGCCCAATCCTTGCTCCCTAAGCTGACAGAAACTAGATCAAGACACTTCAAATCTTGGCAGGTTATCACCCTGCTCAAGACTAATGCAGCCATTTATTCCAATCACTAAATATGCACATGCAGTCTGGGCCATTTGTGAAGAACCTCCACTGGAAATATTGCAAAGGCCCCCATCCTGGAGGTTCTTTTCCAACTCTGTGTAACACAAACAATATTCGTTCAAATATTTGTAGAAAAGTATTCCATTTTACTCTACACAATACTTGCAAACTTTTATTCCTAAATAAAAACCTAAACAATCTAAAAGGAAAAAGGCAATACAAGCCAAATTTTTATAGGTATACTTTGTAAATCAACACTTGGGAAATTGACGTACCTCAATAGATTAGCTGAATGGTATTTAAGTTCCCCCCTTTTCCCTATAAATTGCCATATATTTATGTTCTAAAAATTATATAAACACATACTTTAAAGTTTATCTAAATAAATCAAATGATGTTTTTTTTTTAAATCAACCCAAAAAGTAAGTAAAACAAACAAAGCATGCTTTGTTTATTCTCTAACTCAGCAAGGATGACTCCAAATATGTGGATACTTTTTCTCAGAATTAAAAAAAAAAAAATCAACCAAGGTGCCAACACTAGAAATCAGTCAATACGTTTTTATGTTGAAAAGAATTTTAGATTTTTCCCCATCTATCACCATGAGGAAAAGACTAAACTCTCAATGTGGCATTATGAACTGATAATCTTGTTTCCTCTGATTTTTCCTATCATTGTGGAATAAAGGGAATTGCTTATATATCCAACATGCCAATTCATTATTTGCACTTTTGATGTTTTTAAAACTAAAATAGAAAATGCATGTATTGATTAAGGAAAAATACTTCCAGGTACATTAAATCATTGAGAAATTAATGTGGCTGCCATTAAAACCAGCTCCTTCTCGCCATTAAAACCAGCTCCTTCTCTCCACAGAAATGTAGCAGCAAAGCCCTTGAAAGCCAGGCAGTGGTCCTACCTCTATTGTGACCATCACAAATGTCTTTCAAAGACAGCTTTGAATCAAAAATATTGATTAACAGATTTTTATAATAGGAAGGTTTCACTTAAGAAAAACTGAGCTAGAAATGAAATTTCTACAACCAAAAGTCTGAATTAAAAGTGAAGCAAGAAAACATTTCAGAAAAATCAATATGGTTACGTTTTTAAAACAGGACCCAACATAACCCAACTTACTGTGTTGGTTAATAAGCATGCGGAAAGAAATGCGGTTGGTATAAAAACGATCCAGGAAATATTGGATGTTACTGCTAATAAATGGATCAAACCCAAACTTTTCCTTGTACTCAATCACGCCTTGGGCCATTGTAGGAACAACATCGTTGTGTCTGTTTCTGATGTTAATCAGAACATGGAGAAAGCTGTGTAGGAAGGAAACAAAATATAGTTAAGTCTACTTCATAGGCCAGAACATACTTCCCACTTCTGTCTAGTTATCTGATGGCACTCTTTATAACTATAAACATTACTTCTACTAGATAGTAAAATAAAGTAGTCATAAATATTAAATCCTAACCCAGGCTTTGGTTTGAAACTTACTACCAAAATTCTTTCAGAGCTACACAAAGTAGTAAAAAGTTCAAGTAAAGTTTAAAAATAAGCTCAAATAATTTTTTAGGAAAGCACTTACATTTTAGAGTTCTATAAAAGTGTTTTTTTTTTTTTTGACTAAAGAATTACAGAACATATCATTGTTTCTCCTGACAACATGAGGACAATCCTGAAAAGTCTCTAAGGACTTAGAAATGGAGTCTTAAACCAAGACCTTCTCTGAATAACGAATGCCAAACTTTTTATGAGCAAAAATTTGATATAATCTCCTTCTATCAGTAAAATATGATGAAACGTAGATATAAAAACTCAATGAAAATACCTGGGCAGTGGTGGTCCGCACCTTTAATCCCAGGGCTTGGGAGGCAGAAGCAGGCGGATCTCTGTGAGTTTGAGGCCAGCCTGGTCTACAGAGCAAATGCCATGACAGCCAGGGCCACACAGAGAAACCCTGTCTCAAAAAAAAAAAAAATGAAAAAAAAAAAAAACTCAATGAAAATAAACTTACTTGTTGGGAGTAGTGGCACATACCCATAGTTCCAGATACTCAGGAGGCAGAAGCAGAAGGGTACTTTAGCCAAGGTGTTTAAAATTAGCCTGGACAATATAGGAAGACACTAATCTTGAAATAAAACACATAACTCATTTTCAAGTATTCTGGTACATTACTGTAAAGATGAATATGGAAGGAACTGAAGCAATGACTCAGTAGTCAAGAGCACTGGCTGTTCTTCCAGAGGAAGAATGTCCAAGCAGGCCCAGTATCTCTCTCTTCCTGCTGCTTGGTGATCCATATGTAGAACCCTCAGCTCCTGCCCACTACCATACTTCCTCCCATGACAATCATGGATTAAACATCTGAAACTCTAAGCAAATCCCAAATAAAACTTTTCCTTTATAAGAGTTGCTATGGTCATGGTGTCTCTTTACAACAATAAAACATTAACTAAGACACACATGGCAGCTCACAACCTGTTTAAATCCAGTCCCAGGGCAGCTGACACCTTCTTCTGGATCCATGGGCACAGTTACTCATGTGGTGCACATTTTGTAGACAAAACAGCCATACACTTAAAATTAAAAATAAAAAATGTAAAAACATGGATAGAAAAAACATAAAATACAGTGACCTTAAGAACAGGAAAATAAGCAGGGCATTGGCAGTGAGCGCCTGCACTTGGGAGGCAGTGGCAGTCAGATCTCTGAGAGTTTGAGGTCAGCCTGGTCTATGGATCGAGTTCCAGGACAGGCTCCAAAGCAATACAGAGAAACACTATCTAGAAATATCAAAACAAAAAACAAAAACAACAAAAAAAAAAAAACCTCAAACAAACAAAGAGGAAAATAAGTAAAGCAATGAAACCAAATAAGATTATGGATCCAAGCTCAAAGGGTGAGTAAGTAGAATATACCAATGTGGGGTGGTCTCAAGAGATGATAGCTCTTCCAGAGGACCCAAATTCAATTCCCAACACTCACATGACAGCTCACAACTGTCTGTGGCTCTAATTCCAAGGGATCTGACACCCTCACACAGACATACATGCAGGAAAAACACCAATGCACATGGAACAAGAATAAATTTTAAAAAGAATGTAACAATGTAAGTCAGTAAGGAAATGATTAAACTTACTAGACCAGAGGATTAATAATATACCAATGTCAAGCCGTAAGCCCCAATTAAATGAAAAATGTAAGAGTGAGACTGGGGAGATGGCTTAGGAGTAAAGAGATAAGGATCTGTACCCACATAAAAGCCAGGTGTGGCAGCACTTCTCAGTAACCCCAGAGGCACAGGAATAGATCTCCTAGGGGATAGTTGGCCAGCCAGTCTAGTCAAAATATCAAGTCCCCTGTTAAGTGAGAGAGCCTGACTGGAAAATTTAGGTGAGAACAATCAAGGAAGACACTTGATGTTAACCTCTGATCTTCACATGGAAATGTACGTGTGTGTGTGTGTGTGTGTGTGTGTGTGTGTGTGTGTGTGTGTAAAATAATTTCTTTAAAGAAATAATGTTAATGAAACCACAGGAACAATAAAAGAAAATCAACTGAATTATGTAACTTTGAAATAAAGAAGGTTATTCTAGGAGCTGGAGAGATGGCTCAGATTTTAGAGCACTGGCTGCTCTTCCAGAAGTACTGAGTTCAATTCCCTGCAACCACATGGTGGCTCACAACCATCTGTAATGAGAGCTGGTGCCATTTTCTGGCCTGCAGGCATGCATATAGGCAAAACACTCTATATAACACATAATAAATAAATAAATCTTTTTTTTTAAAGAAGGTTATTCTAAGATTATTAGCAAGGGCAGAAACACAAAGAAACAAAGATGACTGCAGAATTTCAGAAGCTACAAGAGTCCTTATACTTAGTGAAGATGAACGTCCTATTGAGAAATTAAGAAAATTATGATATTAGTGTGGAAATCTATGAAAAAGCAAGCACAAATGCCAATCAATTTACCAGCACAGAAGTGAAATAACCTAAAACAATGTGAAACTGTTCTTTTTTTATTAGGATGACAAATAATAACCAGTGTAGGTTGCATGTGGGCGCTAAATGGAACCTTTGCTAAGGGCAACTTAACCAAATATATCTAAGTCCAAAGAAGATAATTCCACTTCTAGAATCAAAGCTGTGGAAGCAACTGAACAAGATGAATAGCTGTTTTTAAAAACTGCTTTCAAACACAAACATGCATACACCACACATAAAGAATGAGGGGGTAGAGACATGAGAGAAAGAAAACAAAAGCTGTTTTTCGAGCACTGTTTGAGCCAACAAGATGGCTCAGTGGATATATGCCCTTGCTGTGTAAGCCTGGTGACCTGAGTTTGGATCCCTGGAACCCATGGAAAGGGAAGGCAAAGACCAACACCCAAGGCTATATCCTCTGATCTCTACACACAAGACAAACACCTATGCACATGTATTATATATACATACGTACAGATGAATAAGTATTTTTAAAAACTACAAATGAGTCTAAAATTCAACACTAGTAGGGCAAATTGCATGACCTACCTGTAGAAGAATTAATAATATACATCATGCAGTGGTGGCACATGCCTTTAATCCCAGGACTCAGAAGGTAGAGGCAGGCAGGCAAATTTCTGAGTTCTGAGGCCAATATGGTCCAGAGTGAGTTCCAGGACAGCCACGGATGCACAGGAAAAAAAAATCTGTCTTATAAAGCATGTGTGTGTGTGTTTGTGTGTGTGTGTGTGTAAGTAAGGGACAGCTACCTGTTACACAATAACATTTCATCGATAGACTCTGTTCACAAGTGTCCCCTCAAAGATTATGCCCCCTGGTAAGGCTGTAGTCCTCTAAAGTTAGTATGAGGATACTACTCCATAGTGTTCACATAAACAGATTTTCCTCGTGAAGCATTTCTCTATAGGTATCTGTCATTAAGTGATATATGACTGTATTGTGAAACTATTAATTATGACCAAGAACTATTACAGATACTTATTTTTATAAAAATTGCTGGGTGGTCACAGCTAAACACTGAGCTGAACTCTGGAAAACCAGTTGCAGAGAGGGAGGAGTGATGAGCAAAGGGATCAAGACCAGGCTGGAGAAACCCACAGAAACTGCTGATGTGAACAAAGGGGAGCTCATGGGAAAACAGCATAGGCAGTCCTATGCTGGGAAAACAGCATAGGACTAACCCAGACCCCCTGAACGTGGGTGTTAGTTAGGAGGACTGGGCAGTCTAGGGGGATCAGTGTTTATCCCTAGTACATACAAATGGACTTTGGGAGCCCAACCCACATAGAGGGATACTTTCTCAGCCTAGGCATGTGAGGGAGGGCCTGGGCTCTGCCCCAAATGATATGACAGACTTTGAAGACTCCACATGGAAGGCCTCACCCTCCCTGAGGAGCAGAAAAGGGATGGGATGGGGGTTGAGAGGGGGACAGAGGAGAAGTGGAGGGTGAGGGAACTGAGACTGACATGTAAAAAAATGCTTGTTGTAAATTTAAATAAAAAATATTATCAAAAAATGTTGGGTGATACTAGCACATATTTTTATCCCAGCACTTGAGAGGCAGCAGCAGATGGATCTCTCTAGATCTCTCTGTGAGTTTAAGGCTAGCCTGGTCAACAGAACCAGTTCCAGGACAGCCAGGGCTACACAGAGAAATCACATCTCAAAAAACCAAACTAAACAAAAAAAAGTAAATAAAATCAAAAGACTTCACACTCATGCAATATGAACGCTTAGAGGATAAGGATAGAAGAACATGTTATCTGTGGCTACAATCTTTAATCCTAGCACTCAGGAGACGTAGAAAGTCAGATAGATCTCTGATTGCAAAACCAATCTGATCTACACAGTGAGACCCTGTCTCAAAAACAAAACAAAACAAAAAGCCCAAGTTTATAATTATTCACAAGAAATTTTACAATGGAAAATAACTCTTCATATACCTCTTTCCAACATATTTATAAATTAAGTATTTGTAAAATGAAACAATTCATTATAGTGTAGAAACATCTTTACTTGAAGAGAAGAAGCTTACTTTAATGGATTAATTCTAAGTATACCTCCCTATCCTCCTGGGCTTTTCTATCTCCATCATGAGAATCAATCTGATTTACATAAATGACCCCCCTATCTAGTGATCTCATATAACCTCTGTCTGAACAGACAGGGCTGTTACCAGGACACTAGCTCACCTTTTACTTCTTCATTTTCTAATATTGAACTTTTTATATTTTATAGATCCATTAGAGAAAATACACCTAAACCTGAGCTACCGTCTCCTGGCTAGAACCAGCTGTTTTGGCAGTGTGCTACAATGCAAAGAACCAGTATACTAAGGAAAAGGAACCATGATTCATAGATGCTCTGCTATGCAGTGTCACAACCTGGAGGACAGCCTACACTTCTGACCTCTATACTGCCTTGTTTGTGAATTCGTGTTTGGGTGAAAAAACACTCCAAGGTCGTTTGTGTAGTGTAGCATTTCCCTAGTTCTTTTCATATACCATTCCAAGTCAAGTGTCTGTCTCACAATTATATGGATTGTCTATACTTACAATAAAAGAAAGCTCTTAGCACAACAGACTACCATGAACATTCATTGTATACACCCAAAACAGGAAGAAATAAGGGTGGAGATAATTTTTCTTGGGGAAAACCCACACACTCACCTTTGGTTTTCTGGAGAACAAAAAATGGAAAACAGAAATATTTTCCAGTAACTTGAAAATTCAGTAGTCTTTGTGAATAGTAACATCAACAGAATTTAGGTTGTGTATAAATACACACACACACACAGAGACACACTTTCCTGTTTCTCCAAAACAAAACCACTTGTTTCCTGAAATCTACTCTTAATATCCCATTGGAAAGTATGTTTTAAGATGATGGATTAGGTGGATAACTCATGTATACTTCATATATATGGAGGCTACTGCATTCTTAAAGCTACCACTAGATGGAACATTCACTACAATGCTTATATTAAGATGGTGTCCAGTTCACCCTGACTAAATATATTAAGAATTATGTCATAAAGTATTAACTGAAATTTTTTTATTCTCTGTGTACTCTACTAAATTATTGGAAAAAATCCAATAATGTCATTACTCACAAGAAAATTAAAACTTTTGTGTGAATTCTAGTTTTTTGTGTTCTCACCTGTGTGTGCAGTATGTGTGGGTATATGCATGTTAGAATGTGAACACACAAATTCTCATGCACATACACATTGAGGCCAGGTTAGGTTCAATTGTCTTCCTTATTCACTCACTACCTTACTCGTCAAAACAGGGTCTCTCATTTGAACCTAGAGCTTGCTTATTTGGGTAGTCCAGCTAGACAGCTAAACTTAAGAGCTTCCCTAAGGACTCCCAAGAATTAGGATTCTAAGCAGGTTGCCATAGCTGCCCAGTGTTCATTTGAGTACTGCAGATCCAAATTCATGCTCTCACACTTGTGCAGGTATGTTAAACACTAACAAGTGAGCCATCTCCCCAGCCCTGAATTACAATTCTTAAGTCCCAAAGCATGACTCCCATTAATAGAAATATTCTTTTATCTAGCTATTTTTACTTTCATGTAAATTGCACCATACTTACTTATCTAAAACCCGTGGGTCTTCTGGGCTCTTGTTTTCATATTCTAAAAGTTCAAGGAAGCTCTGCATGTACCTAAAAAAGAAGAGTCACCACATTAGCTACCTATCTAATATCCTTTCCCTTTTCATAAGAGTACCGCAAGTTTTCACTCAGGCTTTACCCCATTCCCATACCCCAGCTCAAGTGTGTCAGGCTAACTTGCTCCCTCCAAAGCATGTAAGGTGCTCCATTTTTCACTGGGAGATCATCCTCTCTTGTCAGTAATGACTCATCAGTCCCATGGTCCTATGAATTGTGTACATCCTAACTAATATTCCAAGTATATAGTTTGTTTACTCAAAAAGTATATATATTTTTAATTTGTTTTTATTTTATGTGCATTGGTTTTTTGCTTGCATGTATGTCTGTGTGAGGGTGTCAGATCTTTGAGTTACAGACAGCTAGAGCTGCCATGTGGGTACTTGGAAATGAACCTGGGTTCTTTTGAGACTAGCCAACACATTTAAACATGGAGCCATCTCTCCAGCCGCTCTTGACTTTTTTTGAGACAGACTTTCACTATGTAGCTTTGGCTGGCCTAGAACTCAATATGTAGACAAGGAGGACCTTGAATTCATAGAATCAACCTGCTGCTGCCTCATTAATTCAGGGATTAAATGCATGCACCATCACACCTGGAAAAAAGAACCTAAAATTTTAAGAAATGACCTAGTTTGATCCTGAAGTGTACACTAAGAATATGAGAAGGCTCCTTCTCAGAGTAAAATTAACTTCAATATGTATTAGAGAAATGAATGTTAGGCCCTCAGAAAAAGATTCTGGATTGATTATGGTACTTCCCAATAAGGGCCAATACAAGAAAAATGTGTACACCATTATAATTCTTGAGGCTTAATAACATGTGTCACACATGAGCAAAGTTAGACAGGCCTCTGTCCCTTTCCAAAGGGAACAATCCTCTAAAGGGAAAAGTTATACATGTAAACGAAACCACCATTATACTAAGATTCACATCATGAAAAGAAAGCAGAAAGACTACAAGGTAGCTGAGGAAACAGTGGCAGAGTCACTGTTCCACATCCACCTCACACAAATACATGATCCTAAACTACATTCTTCAATCAAGACAGGAAAAAAAAAAAAAAAACGAAAAAACAAAAACAAAAACAAAAAACAAAAACAAAAAACAGGAACACTATCCACAGAGATAAATGTTAAAAGTATCTTTGGGGAGGGTTGAGCCAGGCATGGTGGCACATGCCTTTAATCCCAGCACACGGGAGGCAGAGGCAGGTCAATCTCTGTGAGTTCGAGGCCAGCCTGATCTACAGAGCTAGTTCCAGTACAGGCTCCAAAGCTACAGAGAAACCCTGTCTCGAAAAACAAACAAACAAAAAAAGTATGGGGGCAAAGAATCGCAATGTCAACCTGAATCCAAATGTTTCAGAAAAAGCAATCAATGTATGATGTCAATCTAAAAAAGGAACAATCTGAAATACATTCTGAAACAGTACTGGTATTCTTTGGGAAGAGCATTACAATGAGAAAGCACATGCTACAGGAAGCAATGGGCATGTTCAAAACAGACACCTACTTGTAGAGTCCTTCCTTAACTATACTTCTAAAATCCCTCCTATGTCAACATGATTCTTTTTCCAACTTTTCCTTTCTTTTGTAATGGCTCACTGTTAAACAGGGATATTGTTTTATTTACCTGTACCTAAGACATAATAATACATAATTGAAGAAAAAAAAGTTCAAGGCAAAGGTGCTTTTAAATAAAAAATGATCATATCAGATCTTTGAAAACACTAACTGTTGGTTCTAATAATTATTAATAAGAGTGGAATGTATTGGAGGCTGAACAGTTGCTGACAAGATGGCCTTAGAAGTACTTTCTTTATAAGGCTGCAGCGGCCTCTGTACAAGCTTATAGACCCAGACAACCACACAAAGGAAATCCTCCTTAATAACTCCCTAGTTTTAGCTACCCCATTTTGATCCTGACAACTTTCACATTTTTTTCATGCATGTGTATGTCATATAAAAGATACTTATACATACATATATTGTTATCTGTCTCTCCCTTCAAGGTGGGAAAGAGAACATAAACATGACTTATGAAAAAGAAGGTTCCTAAACCTTCAAACTTACAGAATGACAGGAGTATCTTTTGTTAGTTATAAGCAGCATCTACTGCTCACATTTGAGTTATTCTAATGATGTCATTTAGGGTGGGGCCTTTATACAATGTCACCATGATCCTGATCAAAACAATGAGCAAGTGACTGGGGAGCTGTTAACTTCTGGTTCAATCCCCAACTTCTGTGGAGGCATGAGGCCAGGAATGAAACTATAAAAACACCTGAATTAGTATAGTCTGAAATCACTGTGTTGAACAGCTGGAGGCGTCCAATAGCACACACTCAAATAGAGCATGGATGTTACAAAGTTACAGCAACATCTTGTCTGATATATATTTCTACCATTTTTGCTGTTTCTGAATTGTAGCTTTTACAATCTACCTATAAATATAAACAAAGTACCTTCCTGAGTTCTGTGACCCACTTGAGCAAATTATCAAACCTCAGAAGAGGGTCATGGAAACTCAATGTACAGCCAATCAGTCAAAAGCATTGACACGCCATCTGAGGTGTGTGGTTGGCCCAGGGAGCTGAACCCCTGAACTTGTGCTGACATTCCATACTTAGTATCAAGACTGAACAGAGTTGCTGAACACATAGCTGATGTCTGAAGAATCAGAGAATTGGTTAATGTTGGAAAACACTTCAGAGATAGCAATTCACTTTGAAGATCCTGAAGAAACTGCTACATAAGCAATGGAAAGTGCTTAGTTGCTATCACCTACTGGACTGGTGCAAAGGACTTGATCTTACCTACCTAGAACCATCAACACAGTGGTCCCTGACAGTGACTTAACACTTTCTATAGCAAAATTTCCAATGATAGTTTGAAAGCAATAAAGAAGTCTCATAAACAAATATTTGTTGCTCCTTCTAAAAATGCTGTGAGTTCGGAGCAGAAGGAAACTATGGTATCACATCTATAGTCACTATTTCTCTGATCTTTCCTGGAATCTAAAGACTCTGCACTTCAGTAGGGAGCTTCTTGCTGCTTTTCTGGAAAGGGGGTCAGACATGAGCCTCTAAGACCATCTAAAACTGTGGATAGTGGAGGAAGTCCCCAGTGAATGTGTAAGTATCAGATGCAGTCCTGACTGAATGCATGTTGTTGACATAAGTATGGCCATGTCAAGGATGCCAGCACTTCAGACCCATGGAAATGGCAGTCATCCCCTGCTCCATGTGTCGATCTTGACAGTGTGTACAGAAAATACCCACTGAAGTTTCTTCCTCCCAGATATTTACACACTGAGACTGCTCCCCTACAGAGATCTCCTACCTAGAACAGCTAAACTTAAGCTAAACTCCTTATGCAGCTGTATACAATAAATCTGTCTCTTCAATTCAGGATTGATATTGATGCAACTCCATCAGAATGCATGGCTTACTTAACTCCAGCTTTTCTGTACGTATGTCTATTATTTCATTCTTAGTCACTAAGTTAGGTCAATCCCTAGGCCATGCAAGGCTATAGCATAAAACAGTGCTCAGAAGGACTTCCTATTCTTGACAAATGGCCATTGAATGTCTATTCTCTATCAGAAGCCAGGCCACCCCACTCTCTGAATTCGAGCTAGTTTCCAGCTCCTGCGGTTTTCTTATGATGCTCTCCTGCTTCTCAGTCAATTCCAGCCACCCATCAAGAAACAGTAGAAGACCACAGCCAGCATTTCTTGTCCCATTTTTTTCTCACAACACTGCTCCTGATTAGCACCATGGATGCTACCTGGTCCCTAAAGTCCTCCAGCTTTCTCCAGATAGTCCCACTATGCTTTTATAGCAGAATGACCAAACACGCAAATCCTGCTGAAAAACACACACCCTTTTCTTACAGCCTCTTGCTCAATGATCTCACCCAGTGAGGAAAGTCAACACAAACTCCATGCCCTCTGCTAGAGAATGCATGCTTTACAATCAGACCTACAACTGATTTAACTTTATTGTTAAGATCTTTCATAGGGCAGATGCAGCAGCAGAACATAAAACTCTTATTTTTCCATGTGAGGTTCTCCTGTAATGACTGTTCAATCATTTCCTTCATGGAAGATCTTTAAAACAAAAATATGAGGCAAGGCTGAGACTTACTAAAAGTAAAAAACACCTCCCTATCTGAAGGAAAGCAAATGGGTTAGGCATGTAACTCAAATGATGGAGTGCTTGCCTAGCACTCTATGTTGCCCAAGCTGTGCTTCAATCCCCAGTAACGACATGGCATGTGATCCCAACACTCAGGGGGCAAGAGGATCAGAAATGCAAGGTCACCTAGGCTACAAATTGAATTCAAGGCCAGTCTGGGATACATGAGACAGTGCCTCAATTTTTTTTAATGAAAATGGGTCCACTGCAATGCCATTCCTTTACATTATTTTCTAATTTTTTTTCAAAGAATCAACCATGTCTATAACAAGAGAAAAAAATGAAAAGTTAATAAAGTATCTTATGGTTTAAGATATTTTCATTAAATGGTTTTTAAAATGAAATCTTATTTTTACTTTTCTTTTTTAAATAGTGTTTCTCTGTGTAACAGCTCTGGCTGTCCTGGAACTTGCTTTACTAGACTAGGCTGGCCTTGAACTCACAGAGATCTGGCCTGCATCTGCTTCCCAAGTGCTGGGATTATAGGCATTCACCACCATCAACTGGCCAGTTTTAAAACGAATAGTTAAAACAAAATCTTTTAAATGCAAGGAAAACCCAGCTATCCCGAATGACTCATTCTCAGATAGACAGTATGTACACTTCTGTGGAAAATTATTCCAATGCCAAAATGTTCCAAGCATTGTAGTGTGATCACAACATTTACTTACCAACTCTGAACTAATCCCACCGAAGGGCGGTTCAACAAATTATCTGGCAAAAGATTAACTTCTCTCATTGTATTAGCCAGTCGTACAGGAAGCTCCTTGCGCAGAAACATATATGAAGTTTTTTCACATGCATTATCTCTTCCTATTAAGAGGTGAAAAAGTTCCGTAAGATTAACACAGAGAAGCATAAAATGTTTCCACATTAACAGAATTACTTCTGGTCAGGAAAAGTAATGTAGCAATGTCTAGATAAATTTTTATTCTCTGAAATAGCAAGTTTAAGAAAACCACTTAATTAGAAGAGAAAAATAACATTTATTCCAAGAGGCAATTTTGAAAGCCATTTTTTTCTTAACACAAATATGTACCCAGTGTTACTGGCCACAATATAAAAGAGACCTGGGATATAATTTGAGTTTGTTTTCAAGTAAACACTATGTGGAAATTGCCAAGTACAGAAACAGTACAACATGTAAATCTTCTCCTGCTCATAGTGGTTTTCTGGGAGGCAACATGATCCATTCATTCCATAAATATTCCTGTTGTATGCAACTATTTCAATACTGCTCTGCCACCCTGGAAACAGAAGCTCTGAGCTCTGTAATTCCAAATAAGGGGCTCTAAGGCACAGGACTATTATGTCTCAAAGAAATAGCTTACAATGTACTCCCAGGTGAATGATCCACTATGACAAGTCCAAGAAGGAAAAACATAAGGTCAGTGAGGTAAGGCAGGTGCAGCAATGAAGCAGCATGTGAACTCACTCCCATGTGGAATAGCAGAAATTGAGACTAGAACGATGGCTTCTAGAGGTTGGGGACAATAGCTACTAAGCTGGAGTTAGAAGAAGTAAGTTCTGGTGTAATGTTGTATAATATGACTAACAGTTAAGGACCATACATTTCAAAAACCTTGAAGGATTTTGAAAGTTTGTCAGGAGAAAGGATCCAATGTTAGAGACAATATGATTAGCCTAATGTTAACATTATACATACTGAACATTATATGGCATTCCATTAATATGATTAATATAAATAGGTTATTACATATCAGATAAAGATTAATTAACAGGAAAGACACGGTCAGGAAATCTTCTGGAGCGGGTCGTGCATTCACCAAAAAAAAAAAAAAAAAAAAAAAAAAAAAAATGCAGGGTGAGTGAAAAGGAACCTGGCACCTAAAAGAGAAAACTTGAGCCCTTTCCCAACTGTCTTGTGGCCAGAGCAGACCCTTAAACCTGTTACAAACTTATGGCTGGGAATAGGTGTGAAATAAAGGATATGAGTTTTCGGAACACAACCTCTGGTCCCAAGTCAGCCATCTTGGGGTTGTGAAACACTGGCTAAACTTTACCATGCCTTTGAACTTTGCCCTAATCTGTAAGGCAGGGGTCATACTTTGGGAAGGCAACATGTAATAGCACGTAACACTGGTCCTCCACCCTGTGACACTTATGAGTCTATCCCATCTCCCTCGAACTTGATGTTCCTCACTCCCTGCAAGCTGTTCTGGAATAAGCCAAGACCAGGCCCAAGGGAGGGAAGCCGTGCTTTCCTCCAAACTTTTCTCTTCCAAGTGCTCCTAATTTTTCCCTATATAAAAAAGGCAGCAACTGACAGGCTCACACACAAAATTTTCTAAGCTTTCTGGTTTCTCCCTTTCTACAAAATAAAGCTGGAAACAAAAGTACCCACTCTTGAAAATCATCTGTGGATCTTTTCTTCCTCACCAACCTGGATCACATTTCCATATTTAAACAAGTCAGAATGAAGATTGCTCTTAAATCATTATTTCCTTCATTCTAAGAGAGTATATTGAAAGTCTTTAGTAGGTAAATTTTTACTGGATGATTCTTTCACTTTCCCCTTAGCACTCTGATGCATGTTAGTCCCCAAATACCCACCCCAAATAAGAAGGGAAGGGATGTAATACTCTAGAAATGAGCATCCAACAACTACTTTATAGAGGTGATTCTAGTAGGTTTGCTTCAACTATACATTATTCCCATTGATCCATGTAATTTTAAATGTACTAAAATGTTGGTATTGCCACAGTTAATCTCATTGGAGTTATTATCTAAGTTAAAATATAAGTCTGGATCCTTATAGGCCAGAAAAAAATATTCTAGATTCTGGTAAAATATGTTGGCTAAAGCACACAGAAAATGTAACCGTGGGCTGACAAAGACGAGCCTTCAATCAAGCTTCTTCTGAAACCTATCTCTCAACAGCCCAGACCTTACACTAAGGTTCTAAGCTGACCTGCTTAGAACAGTTGAAACAAGAACCTTGCTCTGCCATTTTAGCAAAAGTCTTCTGTCCTTGGTGTCTGAAATCCCTTGGGATTGATCAAATTCCTAACCCCCTATTTTAGGTATCTAAATATCCCAGGCAGTTTTGAGCATGAGTCTAGTTAATCTAGTAAGAATCTCCCCAAGCACTGATCCCTTTTAGTAATTTTCTGCCCACTGACCCTTTGCCCATGCATACATACAGACAATGGTCCTGAGTTAGAAATCTCCACTTGTCTGTGGTATATTGTGACCTGAGCCTAATCTCTCTCCTCTACTATAAAACCTCACTGCAGTGGTTACTTGGAATACCCTACTATCTGTCTTACTTTTCTATTGCTGTGAAAATAAATGTCATGACCAAGGTGCTTATGGTTTAAACGGGTTAGATTCCATGACCATCATAGCAGTGAATATGGTGGCAGGCTTTTGGCCAATAGTTGAGAGCTCACATCTGGATCTAGAATCTCAAGGCAGAATGAGAGAGTCACTGGAATAGCATGGGCTTTTAAAACTTCAAAGCTTGCCCCCAGTGACACACCACTTCCAACAAGAGCCATTCTCACTCAAACCACCACATCATCTTTAACAAAGATTATTAATTTCTTAAGAGGAAAAAGAAAATTCTGGAATGGGGAAGAAGTAAAATATCCCTGATGAGCTGAAATTGAGTATCAGTATGAACTAAAAACTTCAAAAACCTGAGGTTTTTTTTTTTTTGTTTTGTTTTTTTAGGGGGTGGTAGCTAGTGAAAAATTTACTACTTAAACTTCCCACTCTACAGCTATTTAGGAGCAAGAGAATAGAAACACAGGGGTAGGATGAAGAAAAGGCTGTAATAAGCAAAAGCTAACCAGTAGGTCCATGTCTCTCCTCCATAACCCACGGGACTAGATGGTTCCAGTATTCAAAGCTTTCCCACTTTTTAAAAAGTAAAGAGTATATGCTATGCTTGTGTGATATGAAATACTATACAGATATAATATAGCTATAGTGAAATATATGAATATTTACTTACATTAAGCAGAATAAAGTATCATTTCAAGTCAACTCAAATCATATTATATAAAAGAATTAAGCTGAGTGGCAAAACTTAAATTCTACTTTCAGAAGTTTTGGACCTCATGATTCAGATAAAAGTGCATGGCCCTACAGAACAGCAGTAATACGATATGGTACTGAAGCATCTTAAGCACTCACAGACTTGTTTATTCTTCTGTATCTCATTTTAACCATCCATAAAACAGCACCTTCTTCACAGAGGTTTAGTGAAGGCTAGTGTTTAACACTGAACACCAATATATTCCTTATTATAAGTAGAATTCATTAAATACCAATCACCAATGCCTGATGAGGATCAAGAAAAACAGCTCAAAGCCATGGCCAATGACATCAATTTGACTGCTATATGAACTATCAGTTCTCAGAACATGACTAGATTCTAGACAGTTGTGATCCTCAGCTCATCTGACAACCCTACATCACTTTAAAAACCATACATGTGTTCAGTGTTCCTATAACTTACTATTTTAAAATGAAAGTCCTCGATGGTATACCAGTCAAATCTGCACTATCTAGAAAACTCAACCTTTAGGCACGATCTAAGGGAACTAGTTTCAGAAAGTATTTGGCTCAGGGGAATTGTATTATCACGCTGTTACAAACCTGTGGGGAGAAATTCTGTCTTGATGTCCCACACAGTACCGATCACAGCACCTTGCCCATTATAGCTTCTCAATGACTCAATGATGCTTTGGAAGATGTGACCATGCTTTTAGAGGTTTGTGTTCTTAATGCAGAATAGTTTTAAAAATCCCAGGTTTTTCTTCCTACATTCTAATTTAGCTTCAAGAACAAGTTCTTTGTACTTAGCTACCTTAATTATACATCAGCTTAAACGAGAGCATAAATCTTTTTAGTTAGTTCACTAATTAGTGAACCTAAAAATAAATGTCTGATTTTTACAACTTTTCTGTAGCTTTCCTCATATACATTAAAGCTATCTTATCCTAGATGTTAAATACTTAGCTTAAATCAAGGGCTTCTAGCAACCATTTTTATAATAAATGTATCAAAATCTATGGGTTGTAATCACTGTTTCTCAAAAGGGTTACTTTTACATTTCCAGCTATTCTTTCCAAATCCATTCCTCCCTCCCTCACTTACTTGGCTTCTCTATGTTCCTTAATTCTTTTTTTTTTTTAATTTTTATTCTACATTTCTCTACATGCTTCCTCTTATTTGGTATTATCAGTTAAAACTTTTCCTAATATCCATTTAGAAGATAACAAAGAAGAAACAGTGAGGAGGCTTGGAAAATTCTTACTCAGAAAATGTCGGGGTTGTTTTCCCCCTGGTTTCAGGATCCTTTGATTTTCTTGTTTCTGTCTGGTTTCAGTGCTAGGGACTTAAAACTAGGGTTCTGCATGTACTCTCCCTGTCCCTTTGTTTTTTTTTTTTGTTGTTGTTGTTGTTGTTGTTTTGTTTTTTTTAGATTCTGTCCTTGCAGAGCCCTATGGCTTGTTTGGCGCTATACAGCTTTATATTCACCAAGATACAGGGAGAATAGGCACAGAAATTACAATGACTTTAAGTTTAATTTGCCAACCCTTCTTGTGGAGGACATAACAAGACATAACAAGAAGTATTCTCCATTCCCAACTTTTAGTTATAACACTTGGTGCAGTTGAGTAGAGAATGGGGGTGTGTAGAAAATGAGAACAATAAAAGGAAAAAGTACTAGTGAGGCCTAAAAAACCAACAGAATGGTCCTACTCATCTAGATATGCTAGTTTCTGATAACACTGTCAAGTAAATGTTTGAGTTTGGAATGTATTTTCCTTTCATTAATT